TTTTTTTTTTTCTTTTTATTCGCGGTACATTCGAGTGGTATAATTATTTGTGACGGAGAGAAATATTGTGATTTTTTTTTTTTTTTAAATAATGCGACAGGGTGATTGACTATTGGAATTGAAAGTAGGTTAGAGATGTGGCAATCGTTGATATGGGAATGGGGGTGTAGATTCTTAATTCAGTTTATCATTTATCAAGTTGAAGTATTGATTTATAATTCATTAATTCGATGTTAGTTTTAATTGCATTGTTAATAAATGACACATCCGAGTCGATTTTATCCTAGCAATTAATAAAAAAAAAGAAAAAATTATTGTCAAATCAAAGTTAATATTTCAAGCAATAATGGATCTGAAATTTTTGAAAATAAAAATGGAGAAATAAATATTGACTATATTAATTTGTTAAAGTATAAACGAATGACACTGATGGAAAAATTAATTTTTCCAGTAATTCCCAGTAATTAATGAACATGAATAAAAACGAGAAGAAATACGCAGAATGAACAAGGGTAAATAAATACGAAATAGAAAAGTAAATATTTTAATTAAATCTAACAAAGCAACGAAGCAAAATATCAAGTCATGTTAAACGAAAATAAGAGTAGAGAATAAGGAACCGTTTCGAATCGTTTCCCAATTTTTACCAAAAATTAATTCTTCCAGTCACGGAACAAAGTGTATCAATTACACCTGTGAGAAATGAAAAGAAGAGACGGCGTTTAAAGCCGAACAGAAGCTCTCAGAGTAGGGGAACGCTCGCATATAAGACAGAATACGAAGAGAACGCGTGTTTAGTTTACGAGAATCGATCCATCTAGCTATCACCCTGATCACTCTCTTTCATCCACCATTTTTGTTCGTCTCGTTTGTTCGTTTCACATAAATATTTCATCGAAAATTAAAATTACAATAAATTGATTAAAAGGAGAAACAGTGCAAAAATTAGTGTATCGCAGCAGAATCAAACAAGATCAATGAAACAAAGTGTATCCGAAGAGGAGTGTCTTCTAAATTAAAAATCAACAAGACTTAACCAAGAATCATTTGGTGAATAATTGAAACGAAAGAATTTTAACGTTCTTCGCCTTGTTGGAGAAACTTAAAAGTGCTTAAAGCACGTGATTGGAGATTGTTCAACATTCAGGGCTAATTTGCAATTAGCAAGTGGACCTCGAGTGGAGGTCGAAGTTCTCCAGGATGTTGCAACAGCGGAGTATACTTTGTGCGGTGCTTTTTGGACTGTTGTCCGGAAAACTCGTGCTCACGGATCAGCAACAGAACAACCCTGCGCTGAACGAGCCTAACTTCGAGATACGTAAGCCTCTTCAGTGCCAATTTTATGCTACAGTGAAAACTCGCTTATGTCGAAATTTCATATATCGAGGATACGCGCAGAATTCAATGAAAACATTTGTCAAATCATCACCATGTTAAACGAATAGAGTGGGGAATTCTTATCACGTGAACTTCAATTCGAATGAATTTCCATCGTAGTTCTACGATGCACACGTGTCTTTGACAATCCTTTTGTCGACAATAAGTTCTTGCGAAGCAGTCTGTCGAAAAATTAATTTTTTGGAGTAATTTAACAGCACGACAATTATACAGCGTGAAAATATTCAAATTGTTCTGCTTACTCGTATATTTCACAATAAAGATAAAACAATTTACAACATACAATTAAAATTCAGCTCGTGAACATTTTAAAAATTCATACATTCAAAAAGTAGAGAACTTGGCAAATATTTATTTCACTTATTAAATAGGACAAAAAAATTGCTTCAAATTTCTTTCCTAAATGCATCAAAATCCACAGTCCAGTGAGATAATTAATCGACAACTAATAATCGAAAGAAAAAGTGCCGTTTGAGAGTTACTACAGCAAGTGGCCATTATGCAACCACTTTCCACGATTTTACGATGATCTAAGAGTTAATTCTCGCTTATTGTTAGATGAACGCGCTGGATAATGATCTAGAAGGTGCTGAGGATCTCAGAGGAATTGCATCGAAGCTGATAGTTGTTGTTCTCGATCAGCGAGTAACTTTATTATCAATAAGAGTGCGTAACCAGCGTAGAATGAAGTTAAATCGCATTACCAGCGAGTAATTATTCCTCTTACGATCATTGAGCGTATCTACCTTTCTCTTTCCACGTAGAGGGCAATTGTAGCGATTATATCACGGAAGTCTATTGCGTTGCACGCGTTTCCTTTTGTTGTGTCAAATGGTTCGCTTTCTTCCGAGAGATCGAGACTCTTGTGCGGCGTCTTGACCGTGTCGATCGTTCGATTGTTCCCCTTTTTTCTTCTCACGGATAAAGATAAAGTTTGAGATAAACTCGGAGGATATCCGAGTTGTGAGTGTTTGAAATGAAAGTGAAGAATTACGCGGATGGTGTACACGTGTGTATGGAGATTACGCATTTAGAGTTTTAACTGTAGTTGATCATTCATCGATTATTTCTTCATTCTTTTCAGAATGAAACTGGAGATTTTGATGGCGAGAGTCTATACTAAAATCGAGGAGATTTAAACTTGAAGAATTTTTTAAACTTAAAGAATTGTAATTTTGTGCCTTTTGAAGATATTTTTTCCTGAAAATAATATTAAAGAATTTACGTGTAAAGAATTTATTGTCAGTCAATGTCATTCTACTATCTCTTTCCTTCTTTTTCGAGAATTCTTAAAAAGAAAAAATCAAAGAACTGAAAGTTTTATGTACAATTTTGATCGAGTCAATCACCAACAATTGTAAAATTTTGATAGACAATAAATCAGCTGTCTAGTTATTCTCTTTTCTTTTTTGAAGCTTCGAGAATGACTTTTTTGAAGCTAGAGAATTTAATTTTGATAAGAATAGCAAAGTGGATGAGAACAAATGGAATTAGACATTTTTCTTGACATTTCCTTGGCACGATACTTTCTCTTTCTATGTACAGACAGAGAACAAGGAAATCGTAGATTGGAATGTTTGCGAATTTTCTAGTTTTGTTCTCGTGTTGGTCGAAGGTTGTGTTTTCAAATTCATTTTGAACGATGCTTTATTGTTTGATTTGCAAGGCAAATTTTTAATGCACTCACTTCAACAAGATATTGTTGCAATTAATTAGTTATAAAAAAATACCTATGACTACAGACGAGGTCGGTATTTATGCATATTTAAGAACTTCTCAACAGTCTGAAATTTTCCATTAAGCAAAAATAGAAGCGAACGATGAAAGATATTATTAAAACTTCCAGTAATAAGTTTTAGAACTTATTAAAAAAATTTCATCAAATAATTCAATTATACAAAATCAAAGATTTAATGTTCAATCGAATAATAATCATTTACGATATTAAATAAAATTTTCAGAAAATGTTTTCGAGGACCAGGTTCAATTATTAGAGGTTGAATTATTAGATTGTACGAAATTATCCACGAACTCACGAAACTTTGCAAACAATAATTTATCTAATACTAAATAATAGTGTAATATTTAATTTGTATAAATATAAAAGAGTTATACAGAGATATTTTGATCATCTCTATTTCATTTTCCAAACAGGATTCTACACTATTCTAATTTAAAAAATATATTTAAAACAGTTTCATCTTAATTATAATAGTATTCCAATAATTAAAATATTCTCCTCCAATTGTTATCATCTTATTCTAAAAATTCTAAACTTATCCTTGCTAATTTCAATGATCTTCTAATGCTCGATAATCTTACTGTCCAAAATAATCTCACTAATTTAATATCCACAAAATTGTAATAATCTTATTTTTGAAGTACCAAATTAATTCTCTGTTAACTTTACTCGACTTCACCTAAATTCCATTAACGTAGATAATTTATTCATAGACTCCGATAGGCTCTTTGTTCTCCAACTTCTTCGAGGTGTCTACCTATCGTTAACAACATCGCAGCATCGAGTTTTGTTTTAACACGAGACTCGGTTAAAATTCCAACATTGTTGCAGAGTTCAGTCGGTCGGGTCGAAACGAAACGAAACGAAAGTGAAAATTTGAAAATATCAAAGGCAAAACGATGGTGTAGCGTTGGTCATCGTGATCGATGCGACGTCGACGTAATGGTAGCGAGCATGGCGTAACAGCTCCCGATGGCGTGGCGAAGGTTATGTCAGAGACATTGCGTAACAGGCTCGTGGATCGAACGAAGTAATCGGTCGGAGAAAGTGGCGGCGCGGTCGACCTCTTACTTAGAGCTGGTCTTGCATTACGTACCCACGAGCCGGCTACACGCTCGTCTTCCCGCGAATTCGAACCCTCGCCGCGATTCCTCGAGAGTGAAAGCGTATTTGCACGCAACCAGGACGATGCATCGAACGGTCCAGATTCTTTGGTTGGTCATGGACTTTGCGTAGTAGGCTTGTTGACGAGCAGACTCCATTTGTGGGAAACTTTTGTAGCTGAAGATATGTATCGTTATTATTACTATTATTATTTTTAATACACCGTTTGTCAGGAATAATTGTAACACTGTAAAAATTTACAATGTTTTCTTGGGCTACTAAAATTTCGTCTAGAAAATGGAAAAGTTGTATTATTGGCCGCCTAATCTTTTTATGGAACTCGAATTTGAAGTTCATTTCCCTTGTTAATGGTCAATCGAAAAATTTAGCGCTTTTCATTTAATGTAGGATCTAAAGTAATACAAGTGTATGTTTAATAACTGTGTTTCTTGTACTTTGGAAATGTAAAATAGGTGATTATATCCATTTTGCTTGATTAATTAGACTTTTATGAATATTTATAGTTTTATTGTTTTTTACTGTAGAATGTAGAAATATATTTCTTGCACTTTGAGAATAACGTAGAAACATAAAAATTCGAGAACCGTAACAGGATTCGAACAAGAATTGAACGTGAATGAAATCATCGCCCAAATGGATATAAAATACACAAAATAAAAATAAACTAACCATTTTGGAGTAAATATTTTCATATGCTTGCCATTCTGCATGTAATAAGACACGCATCATGAATTAGTGTAAATTAAGTTGAATCTTTTGAGCAAATGAAACAGAAGGAAATATCTGACCATAATGGACAAAGTATGTCAATGTTTAATAAGAATGCTCTTTTATACTTTTTCGAGTTAGTAGATTAAACACTTGCTAATGCTTTGCGGTGTTTAAAATAGCAAAAGCTTCGTAAACAGAGACGTACTTATAATAGTTATAGTATATGAGATAAGTTTTAGAGAAAAAAATTAATAAAAAATACAATAAGTGACGTTGAAAACTAAAATTGCCTTTATCGACCCACTAAGAATCAGCAATGTTATAAATACTTCAATTCCTTTAAATTTCATTAAATCCTAGAATCTATCGAGAAATAACAAGGAACTTTTAAGCGAATCGTTAAAATTTTACATTATCGTTAAAAAATAAAATCTAATAATGTAAATTGATTGAAAAAGTCAATTAATAATTACGAAAATAAACTAAATGAAGAAATGAAGGCATTCAGTTTATAGGAGAAATTGAAGAGACGCGTCTGGAAAATTTCATTTTTACAAAATAAACTATAACTAACGCAATAATTTGCAAAATAAACTATAACTAACGCATAAACTATAAACTAACGCAATAATCTTCATGTAGATGTGAATATCAAGAAAGCTTATTAAGATTATTAAAACCACACATATACACTTACACTTCGTTATTATTTATCATTATACTTCATTACACTTAATCAATTCGACTTCTAATAATAATTGGAATCAGTCGATTGTGACGTTTGTAACGATTTATAAAAGATTCTAGTATAAATTAATTCATATTTATTTATAGATAATAATCGATTGCATGATTTTCCCGAGTGCTAAGGCGTTTGATGATATGTCATAGTGCAATCATGACACGACACTCGTTGAAATCACTCGCGAATTCCGTCCATCAATATTTCTCGCATTTATCGAGTTCTTTAAATTTGTTTCTAAGCAACTTTGTTTGAAATCACTTTAATATTTTTACCTTTTTCTTACATTATAATTCAATTAATTTTAGACTATTTATTAAAATTAAATTGCAATCAACGATATTTACAATAATCGTCAAAAAATATTAGAATATTGATTGAAAATAATTGTAAATGAAATATTACGTAAACACAACTTTCGTGAGTTAAGGAAACACAGCAGAGATGGAATAATACATAAAATTGCAAATTAAGCGCTTTATTGTTCAACAATTATTCAATCAATAAACGAATCGTATAATCATATAAAACAAAAGAAAAATAGTAAATTGCAGTATGAATTTTGTGTGTTTTTTTTTAATGCAATTAAAAAGAAAGAGGAAAACTGTGTCAATAATTATATCAATTACAGTAATTGTTATCTTGAAAAAATATCGTTATTTCAATAAAATTAAATTAACATAACGATATAAGTAATGTAAATGTAATATAATAGGTATAATATTATCATTATCAGTGCATAGAAAACAATATCCTGCAAATGTTGGATTACGATGTTAGAAATTTGCATCTTTTATCGACGAGAAAATCAATTGCAGGTATATTTAGAGAATTCAACAAGCATCGAATCGAATTGTATGTCAAGATCGATTGACTGTAAACCGAATAACGTTTCGCATTTCTATTAGGAAAAAGCGTGTGATAACCTTGTTGGTACAACGAATAATAAGAGAAGTAACCAAATCATTGCATATTTTGAAGGTATAGACAAAATTACAATGACAAATTTTTTTGGACAGAATTAGTAAACCTTTCTATTTAGAAGTATAGAAGTTAGGTGAAAATTCATATGAAGTTTATATATCTTTAATTCATTTTCACATGATAGATTGACCTTCATACGATACATTGAAGTAATATAAATTCTTTAACTGAGTGTGAAACTAGTATTTTTAATAACGTTTTTGCAGACTAAAAATTTAAATTAAAATTTAACTCGAAATTTATTAATTTAAAAATTCTTAATTAATTTCTCTCCTTCATATCCTTCATATCATGTATGTATTTCGTGCATAGAAGAAACCTTTAAATAAAAAAAAGCTATATAATTAAGTTACTTAAAAATCTCAAAACTAAATCAACAAAAATCAAAACTGAAGTTGAAAAGCATTGTGAAGAACTAAATTGAAGAACTAAATTCTAAGAAGCATAAATAATCATGAAGTAATTACTGTAATTGAAGTAATTACAATTGTCTCGGAAAGTTAAAAATTTAAACGCCCCAGAAATTGGAGTAAAGTTTCCGATGGACGGCATCAGAAGTGAGAGTGGTTGCATAAAGGTACAGGAAGTAGAAAGACACGTGGCAAGCCAGCAAAACGAAATTAACGATCGCGTGACTGAAAACTTCGTGAGTCTATCTAAAACCGATCGTGAAATCTTCTGAATTTATTCTTTCAAAATTCTTTGTTTTCCACAGCCGAGTACATATTACCATGCAATAGATCAGATCCCAAGATAGACTCATGCTTTAAGAAGACTTTGAACCACCTGCAGCCATATTTGCTGAAGGGTAAGTAGAAATTATTATAGAAAAGTGTCTTGGAACATTATATTATTGGAATTTATTTATTAGCAAAGTTTGTTTGAATTTATTTGAAATAATTTCAATAACTTCTAATTAGTGTATTAATGATAATATTATTTAATTTTGAGATTGTGAAGGATTAAATATTATTAAGGAGTAAAATTGAATATTCTGAATTTTAATAATTTAATGTATAGTTCCATCTTCTATAGTCAATTGAGTATTACTGTTATATGTTGAAATGGGTTTACTCTTGAAAAAATGAAAAGCACCTAGAAATGCTAGCATGTAGAAATACATTAGAGTAAAGGTATAATTTTTATGTAATAGAATTACGAACATCAGTGAATCAGTTCGGTTTTATAATCAATAATTAATTAGAGCATGTAATTTCGATCTGCTTGAAGGTCTTACATAAACTGGCGGCCTTTCTACGACTTTGAATACTTGATTTACTTCGTGTCCTTATTTCCAAATATCTCTTTGTAAATGACACGAAAGTGAAATTTAACATATTAAATGCAAAGACACGAAAGAATTTTTTTAATTATTAAAAAACAGATAAATGAATATAAAAATCTATCGATTATTCAAGGTACAAAAATTCATCTATTTACTAAATTCTACTTTTATCCTTATTATTAGTAAATTAAAGTATTAAATTAAATCGTAATAAATTGTACTAAATTAAAGTAAAAGGATTAATTTAAAAATTTTTCAAGCAAACAGAATTGTACCAATTATTATCACTATACAAAATTCCATTGTTTCAGGTCTTTCTGATTTGGATCTACCTCCGATCGAGCCATTGATCATCCCGGAATTAGGAATGGAGAACGGTCAAGGAGCTGTTCGTGTTAGAGCGTTGTTCTCCAATATTACGGTCATAGGGGCAGGAAATTATTCGCTCATAAAGACACGAATCGACGTAAAGACATACAGGCTTGATCTTCACTTATCGTTTCCAAAGATCGAACTACAAGGCCGTTACGAAGTGGCGGGAAACGTGTTGCTCTTCCCCATTCAAAGCCATGGTGAATTCTGGGCACTTTTCGGTAAGTCGATCACCAAATTTTTCAATATAAAAGAAAGTGAAAAAGCAAAGATATCTGAAGTTTATATAGAAGTTTTTGCAACTGATCTTTAGCATTTGTATAATAATTGAAGTGCGCAGAGTTGCCAATCGTGAGATTCTAAACTTTAAACTATCGTCGAAGACACCAAAGATAGAGAGACCTAAAGTTTGACGAAAACGTTATTTTTTCATCCTAATGATTTACAATAATAATAGATAAAAGATAAGGCGTGCCAAACACCAATTAAAATCTCGGACAAATTTTTCAAGAAATTTCTATCTAAATTTCCTAAGTGCGATCCGGTTACGAAAAAAGACAGGTCGGATCTAATTTTCTATTCTCTGACGCGCTGGGAAACTCCAACACTTCTACAATTTAATTAAAAGTTGAAACTTGCTAGACAAGAATGATAAAGAATTTTAAGAGTCACCAAAAAAATGTAAATATCTTTTTGCAAATGACACACAGCGAAATGTAATGTTGAGATTCTTTTATATTTTCCTCTCCGAATCTTCTCTGACCTTCTGAAAATTCTCTAACACTAAGATACGTCACACTTAAGAAATTTCCTTGAACATTCTATAAAATTGCTGATCTCGTATGTTCGAAAACATAGTTCAGATACACGCAGTTTCTTTACTCCGTAGTATTAAGAAGATAAAAATTCACTATAAAACTATATTTTCCAGGAGATGTTCAAGCGATCGCTCGTCTCCAAGGAGCGGAGGAGATCCGCGACGGGGTTCGTTACCTGAAAGTGGCACGGATGTTGGTCGATTTCAGTTTGGCTCGAGCGCGATTCCGCGTGGTCGATCAATTAAACGGCGATAACGTGATTGGTCAAGCGATGAATCAGTTCCTCAACCAGAACGCGAAGGAGATCATCGAAGAAATGAGACCAGCCGCCAGTGCCAGCATCGCCAAACATTTCAAGAGCTTCCTCGGCAAGGCCTTGAGCAAGGTCCCGTTGAAAGTTTGGCTTCGCGACACGTAGTTCCTTCGGATCATCTCTCCTTTCTTTCGTTTTCTTTTTTCTTTTTTTTTGTTTTTCTATAAACGTTGTCGGGGGAAAAGATCACGTTTCCTTGATTCTTCGAAGCGCGATTTGGATCGTCGAAACGGACGAATCGTGTTTGGGCAATGAAAACAACGAGAAGAGTGTTTTCGAAAACGGAGTATTTCGGTGGACTGATGATGATTTGACTTTGGTTCAAATTTGTACGTATCGTGCATTTCTGTGCATTTTGTGGTAGCTGAGAGAATATTGTTTCACAAATTCATTGTGAGAATTATCGAGTGAATATTGTTGCTATTGAGTTGGTGCTAGGGTAGAACTTTGGTTGTTTGAAATATATTTTATGAAACTGAGAAATATTTTAGAAATCGTTTTTCCTTTTGATTATTACATACTTTTACCTCTATCTTGATTATTAAATTGTTTTACTTATAATTTATTTCCATTACGAAACTATTTCATTTCTAATTCATCTACTTTGATTCATCAATTATTCTCGTAATAATTCTTTAATTTTACATTCAAACAATCTTAGTCACACCGTACTATTTTCTGCTGCTTTCAACAGTGAAATAAACTTGCAGCATGAGTCGCTCATCGTTAATTTCAATGTACAACTAAATTCTCGCTTTTCTTTTATCGATATTATATCACACATCACACACGTTACAGTAATTCTATGCAGAGAAAAATGATCGTTAACTATTCAGAAACGTGTTGTCCACTTTTAAAAATTGACTTGAACGTGACTCCTCTGCACAGAGACTAATTATATGCATATAATATTGATATAATAATAATAATTTAATTTCATCCGCAGACGATCTACGCATTTCTCTCAAATATCTATCTACATTTTTATCTTTACCTCAAGATTTCTCATTAATTAAATAAATCTCAATAATTTTCAAAAGAATCAATATCATCTCGGAAGGCTATAAAATTCCATGAAATTGTATTTGAAATCGTTATCTCTTGACTTGAATAATCTACATTCTGCCACAGTGGCGAATTACATACATATCATTTGTTCTTCACTATGTATAGCTTTCTTGAAACATGCAAATAATGAGGGAAAAGGAAAATTAAACAGACAATGTCGATTTAATTTTGTTTGATTTAATTTCAAATCAATCTTTTGGATAAATTTTTACGTCAGAGACTAGGATATCTTACAGATTGAAAGATAATCAGATCCTCTGTGTGGTGTAAGACAGCTGTCAGAACTCTGACAGTTCCTTATTTGTAAAGGTAGTGTAGTATGACGATATGTTGATTCTGTATTCGTCATTTCTTGAAATATCTATAAATTACTTATTTCGTGTTTCCATAATCGTCAAGCATTATACCTATGTACATATGAACATATCTTGATCATATACCCCAGCTAAAGTATCTCTTTTGTTTTTTTTAGAATTTAAGTATCTAAAGAACTTAAGTATCTAAGACATTTATGTATCCTTTTTGTTTCTAATGACATGAAAGGTGTTTCAGAGAGACCTTCGAAAGAGGAATATTTTGTGAAGAACATTTCTTGTTATCATTTCTTTCGAATCTTTTCTAGAATTTTTTTTTTTTTTTTTGTTAGATAGCGTTTATATTATACTTGTTTTTATTATAATTTATCACTGCTATAAGTATCAGCCATTTTCCAGTTTTTTTCTTTTTTTTTTTTATAAATTGAATTCCATCTCTCACACAAACGAATTAAATATTTTCTCTCAAAATTCTACCAATTATTATGAAATATAAATATGTTTAAATTCCTTTTAAATTTCATGCAACAATTTCATCTATCGGACGAATTTTCTCATCGAGTTCTCTCTTTCCATTATTAAATAACTTTTAAATAATGAGTCATTAAATAACTTTAAAATAATGAATCTTCAGTGTTAAGTAGGATTCAGCCGATAGTTTTTACTCCATTAAATTTCATATAGATATTGCTAAGCAAATTTTGTTTGAATGGTTAGCTACGATAATTTTAGAAGTAAGTTCTAACTTCACTCGGTGAGTTACATACGCACGTGCATGCGAAGTAAATTCTAATATAGTAACCATAATAAACCGTAAGATACGATTCCTCACTACCAGTACATTGTACAGAACAAATTTTATTTCAACAGCCAACTTACAGATAATTACAACAGAAACAAATAAATACCGCATGGCCTACATACACGCCACATTGCGAAATATCCCCATTGCAAGATATCGATAATAGAAAGCTAGATGATAGACACCGAAAATAAGAGAACCGTTTCAACGATGAAACATAAAGTTCGTCTAATAGAATTTTCAATTAATAATCTACTCTCCCACTGTACAACCACGATGTATGTAACTCGAAACAAGATACAAAACGTCGAACTGAACGCCACCCGATAATGAGAATTAGAGGCGTGGTAGCACGCCGTATCATTCGACCTTCGACCTCTGTCGTCATCCCTTTTTCTGTCTCCCGTTTGCTTCCTGAAGATTCCCTTGTTGAAAACCAACCGGTCCCTCGAGCAGTCGGGTCACAGACGTTCCGAGAGCACACCGGCAACGAGCCGGGTTAAACGTTCGCGTGCAAACAACTTCGGTTCTACAACGACAGGCGAAGCAAAGTGACGAGGCTGAAGCGAATCGATTGACGATCAGTCGACGACCGATTGGCCTTGGTATTTGGCGGTAGTTCCTGATGCTACACGACGAAAAAAACGATCTCCAACGCTCGAACTATCGAGGCAGAGGGTAGTGAAAGATAGACGAAAGGTGTCGTCGATCGAGGGAACCCTAGGAAATTGGAAAAGAAAGGTCACTACGATGATGGCCCAATTCACCAAGAGGCAGTGGCTCACGCTGATCGTCATCAGCCTTGCCGATTTTGCTAACGCGATCTGTGTGTCGCTACAGGCGCCGTTCTATCCGCAGGAGGTGAGTAAAAGTCGAGGATAGTTGTTGCTTTCAGCAGGTTAACAGCAGAGTTGTGAAATTTCTTTTTTCTTTTTCGTTTTTTTTTCGTGTTTTCGTGATATCGATAAAATTACGATTATGGAAACGTAATTGTTTAGAGTTAATAATCAGTGTGATAATAAGTCTGAAGCTGCAAAAGTATACGTAACAATGTGTAAAATATTGCTAATTCTCCTAATTACATTCACAAAAATATAAATTTATGTAAGCATTTATAATCCAATAATTAATAATGTAGATCCAATGTAATGTAATCCAGTAATAATGTAGATTATTATTTATTAAATGATAATTTATATATAGAGTATTTACATACACGCAAGTATGGCTGGTAATTCTGATGTTGATATAGATAATTTGATTGATTAGATTTACTAAAATTTGTTCAAAAAGTTTTGTCAATAAAATTGAAATTTAATGCTTTGAACAGTCTTGAAGATTTTGTAAGAATTTGGTACGATTTCCATTTTTACTCGATATGATCGTTTATACTTAGAACATTTTAGTTTAGTATTTATTGTATGTAAATAATTCGACACGACGCCAATTTCAATCAATCACTCAAAGACAACTGTATATACAACTCACATTTAAATACTGATAGTCTTCAAACTGAATAATTTATTCGCTGACTATTACGAGCATGATAAAAATAATCTTATGATGAAGAAAGTTCATCTGCCTCTGTAAGGTTCCTTACGTAAAAGAGAAAGTAATAATTAAATAATAGTAAAATAGTAATCATTAGAATAATAATTGAATAATTTTCCTAATAATATAACTCTAATTCGTTCAACTTTTTGAAAAGTAACATAAAACTTACTTAACAACGTTACGTGAGAGTTAATAAAAGAGAAAACAATAATTTCATATTTAATAACAAATAATAACAAAATACTAATTATTAAAATGATAATTAAATTATTTCCCTAATAAATATTACTAAATTCATTCAACTTTCCAAAGAGTGACTCGTAGTTTCTACGTTTCTTCAATCTCTTTTATCGACGAGAAACATGTGAAATACTGCATGTGCAGAAGAGAAATATTCCAAAAAAAAATGTTGGAAAAAATGAAGAAGAAAAAGAAAAGAAATTTTCGATACGTCGATAAGTTGATTTATGACAAGAAGGACGTACGTATTTTGTATAAACAAATGTTTATCGAGCTTGTCTGCCTCAGAGGTTAAATACTGAGTGAAAGTTATCAATTTACGTGGTTCATTAAGAAATACAAACGCGGTTCACACGTTGTCTGCTATGAAATCTACGCATATATGTTGCGAGAATGAAAAGTATCATCGTTTGTTGTGTATGTGTATTCGTTGTTTGTGCAGAAATTTCTTACATAACTGTAGAATTATCTTCGTGAAATGGATTTCGATCAAGAATAATAAAACGTACTTTGTAAAATAACTTTTGATCTATCTTATTTAGAGAGCTTTCTGTTTGTCCGCTGTAATTAATCGAATTTTCTCCTAATCTTAATGGTAAAATAAATACAGAAATATAGATTATCGTGGTTTCTCATTTTGATGATGATTCAGTGACACACATAATAATAAAATGAAAGAATTTATACGTTGCAACTTTGAACTATTGGGATTATTGTGGTAGACAATTCGACAAATTTAAATACAAGACAACTCGTTTTAATTTTAATTTCAATTATTAAAAGTTCGATTATTTTAATTCGAAGTTTGTATTCCAATTGAAAGCAAGATATCTTGTTGAAAAGCCTGATGCAAACTTATCACGATCATTAACTAATATTCACGCGATGTCACTTTTTTTCACCGAACTCCTTCAAACATTTTATCGTTCGATTTTTGTATTTCGGACGCGAGTTAAATCGCAAATATCGCAAAAATTGAAGCAGAATAGCTTTCTGATAACGTAGAATTCAGGGATTACCTATTAGTCTGATTGAGAATTCAAATATACAATTAAACAATTATTAAAGAGAATAAATTATTACTTTATACTTGTATGATCTCCAAAAACTGTAAACGGCCGTAAATGATAAAATTCTGGAAACAACGAGAAGACTCTTTGCAATTAATCTTAATTCTCTATTTATAATGATTTACATTTAATTTTAGTTAGCAGAAATCAGCTATCATCTATTAAAGAACTGAATTCAAATGGATTATCTGACCGTAAATCAGCAATAGCAATTCGCGTAACAATTTTACCAGTATCATGCTGCTTAATCTTAGAAGATTAAATATTTCTTTAATGAAGAGAAATTCCCTAGTATATCAATCGGAATGGGTCATCCCAATTGCGTAATGGAGTACGCGTATCCTTGTCTAGTATCAAAAATATATGTATGTAAATATGTCGTTAATTAAACATGTTAATGACATTCTTCAATTCTACATCAATACATAAAAGTTGCTATAATTTCTCCTTTTTCTCCTTTGAAATAAATAATATGAAATAAATTATAAAATATAATTAATAAAACGTATATTGCTATTGGTATTTTAAGTGCTGGAGGACATAGAAATAATTTGAATCAGAGAAACTAAGAAGTTTTGCAACGTGATGATCCATAAATACATTAAATTAAATTAAGTTGAAATCTATTAAAATTTATCAAATTGAATTAGAATTTGAAATCAACGGTAAAACAAAAGAACA